AGCCACTCCAGGTCACTGCTCCGTGCAGTGTAGCCAGCTGCCTGGGAGAGAGCCCGGCTGGGGAGGGGCAGCGGCAGCTTCCGGGGACAGGGGCTGAGCATGCTGGGGAGCAAGGGGGGGCTCCAGCTCTCTCGGCCGCTGTCCCCAGAAGCCGAACCCGCGCAGGTGGAGCCCACCGCTGCAGCCAGGTGCTCTCCCAGGCAGCGCCTGCGCTGTACCGGGCAGCATCCCAATGGCTGGAATAGGCTCTGGCCTCACCCCTTCTGCTCCCTGCCCGGGCTGGCTGCTGAGAGGGGGGCTCTCGACTCCTCAAACTCCCCACCACCTGCCTCATTTATTGTCAAAGATTTGTATCTTCCTTTTCTTATTCCCCCAGGAGAAACTGGAGGGCACAGTGTTCGTGTCTGTTTCCAGTATCCGTGTGCTGCTTTTGCCAAAGGGACGATTTTAACAAAGCCCCTTTCTATACTCAAGGCACGCTGCGATTTTCACGCTGATGCTAGAAAAGAGGGGAAAAAACCAAAGGGAACCAAACGGCTGTGGACTGAGTGTAGCTGCATTAGTCAAAACGGAGCTTGCAGGAGCTTTCAATATACACCTGCATGAGGATTCGTCTTCTGTTCCAATCGCTCTCGGCCGAAAGCATTAAATCATGCGAAATGAAAAACGTGCAGCAGGCTGAAATTACAAACTTGGTCTATTTTTTTGTTTAAAATGAGAAATCATATGTCATGTCACTTAGAGTGAAAGCTAACTTAATATATTCCCTTAAAAGCCAAGGAGTATAATTTGGCTGTCATAAAAACCCACAGATTATAAAACGTGTTTTGTGATGTAGTTTGAATGGACTCACTGTGGCCTCCATATATGGTAAAACTGTCAAAGAGATGGTAAATAACATATAATTTGTGAACCGAACGAGTCAATCGGTAACCTGCTGCTGAAATAAGATGGGGCTCGAGCTCTGAAAGGGCACTCCATGGCTTTTTGTTTCTCTGCCACCACAGATCGCTGCTGAATGGGGTCCATGGGGCAGAGGCGATAGTTAGGCAGAGGGAACCATGATTAAGGCTGTAAGAAAGCGGCGCCAGTTTGGTTCAGAAGTTGCGGCCGCAGTTAAAGTGGTGGTTTCGGTGTGGTCAGTTCAAGTACCGTTAAAAAACAACAGATACAAAATGGCCGCCCCCCCCATCATGGTGGGCAGGTGTGTGTAGAGGGGCCCTCAAAGCAGAGGCGTGGTGGGGTACAGGGTAGGGTGGGCTTCAGAACAGAGATGTAGGGGCCATTCAGGCCAGAGGGGTGGAGGGTTTGTGAGGCCGGCTGGGGGCTGCAAGACCTAAACTCTTGTTTTGTAGCTGAGTAGATGTTGAGTTGGTGTGGGGTTAATCTGAGGAGCGCAGCACCCGTCAGGATGCCCACAATAAACCTGCTCCACAGAACTGTTGAAACAGTGAAACAGCAACAGAGGAGAAATGCACAAATGTTCCAAGCTGGTGATTTCAGCAAGCCACCTGCTGAACCTGCTGAAGGGTGTTGGGTGGAGTAGGCACAGCTCACGCTGCTGGATGAGCAGAAAGACAACAGGGTGAACTGCATGGGTGAAATCCTGGGCCTGTTGAAACGAAAACAAAATAGGATTTCACCCTCTGTGCTAAACAGAAAGCCCTCCTACCTGGAAGTGCCTCATTATACCAAGTTCCTCCCAGAGCCTCTCCTGGGCCTCTCGGGAACTAGAGGACCAAGAACTCTATGAATTTAACTCCTCTCTCCACCCCGTTCCACTGGCTTATGCGGAACATCAGGGGACAGTGCTGGAGGCAGCCAGATACGCCCGCCCCATGGGAACATCATGTTGAATACAACTGCGGGGATGCCACGGCCAGCCCTGAGCCACTAAACGTTTGCAGACTCCACAAAGTCTGCTAGGGACTTTGCTATTGATTTCACACAAAAGGCGCTCAGATAGCATGGTGATGGGCAGCAATAAAGCTTAGCTAGGCTCCTAAACACCTTTGAAAATTTAGCCCGGGGAGACTAAGGTCCAGATCCCCAAAGGTATTTAGGCACCTAACGCCCATCAATCCTTCCTTTGTCTTAAGAATAATTATATTACAATGTTACGCTAGGTGCTGTACAAATGCAAAGATAGCGGCAGCTCTATGTGTGGAGAATATAAGAGTGAACGAGAGAGAGAGAGAAAGGTAGCTGGTTCACGCTGAGCTTAAGCAGTCAAAAAAAGTGTAGGCTCATTGATTTAACAAACCATCTATAAATAGACAATTAAATCACGCAGCCTTTTCCGGAAGCCCTAGTGTGTGAAGAGCGTGGCTGATCGCTGTGGAATCGGCTAAAAGTCACCTTTGTGGCAGCATTCTATTTACACCGTTATGCACACAAGTTCCTTATTATATTGCCTTGAGGGATTCAGATCTATATTTTCTTGATGAAGTAAGAAAAGCATTAAAGTGCATTTGGTATTTTTAATACAGCGACAGTGTCAGAGAAAGTCAATCCCGAGAGTTAGACACGCTTTTACAACCCAAACAGCCGTTCCTAATGTAGGGCCCAGTTCTGCCTGCCTTATTTGCATAGCGTAGGACCTTATTCTGCGAGTCGGGACTGTGTACAGAGTAACAGTGACAAAGTCAGGCCCTTGGTTTTCTCAGGATCGATTAGATCAGGGTACAGTGCCATTCACGTCAATGGAGCTATGCTAATTCACACCAGCTCGGGATCTGGCCCATTGTTTGTAAACTGACACTGTATTTACCTGGTAATGCAGCAGCTGTTACAGCTGCTGTATGAACAACTGTGGTGCTTTACTCCTGGTGAGTTACAAGGAGCTGACGTCACAGCCTCAATGGGAACGACTAACGCGGGTGTCTTTTTATAGTCTGTGTTTCTAGCACAGGCCATGCAACAGCGATCTCGGGCTCAGCAGAGACAGAGGCAGATTTTAATGCAGATAGCTAAAAAAAAACTAGACCCCTTCAGACGTAGAAATTACCAGTGCCCAAAGCTATGAGGCGGCAATACGTGCATGTTGGCAAGGTTCTCAGGATACCCGGGTCCCACTCCTAGCTCTTCCTGTGACTGTGGGCCAGTCACCTCCCCTCTCTGTCCCACCATTTCCCTTCCTACCCTTTAGCTTGTCTATGTAGGCTGTAAGTGTAACGCCAACAGACCCCGGTTGTCGGTGGGTGGGATTGAACCTGGGGCTTCTGGAGCTTAGTGCATAAGTTAAAAGCCAACACACACACACACACACACACACACACACACACACACCCCTCTCTCAGCTGGAGCCTCTGGGAACTGCTGGAATAATAATTTTTCTGGGAACAAAACTTCAAAGGCCTCATCCAAAGCCCACTGCAGTTAATGGGAAATTTTGAGTCGGGCCCTAAAAGAAAGTAGCGCACCTGTTTCTGCTCCTCTCTCTGCAAGAACGTAGGCAACACCTGAATTGGATTTCGCGTTTAGAGAGCAGTCAGTATGGACTCCAAGTGAAAGTAGCATCTCTTCCACATGTGTCCACCCTGTTGTTCTAAAAGCCTCATTCTGCCTAGAAAAGTGCTCTGCCCCCTGCCCCCCCAGTGCGCCGTAGGAAATGCATCCTTTCAGTGTGCTAAGCTGGGGGGTGGATGTGATGATGCATCACAGCGGTTACACTCTCAACAGCCTGTCACACATGGCTGCAGTGACAGATTGCAGCGACCTGCTGGTGAAACGGGGCTCAGTGCAGAGTGTGATATATTTGAAGGGTTGAGCACAGTGCTGCGTCAGTTGATGTGAATTCGCAGGTACAGTTCTTTAAGCAGTTGAATATGTTGAATTGGTTACATAGTGGTTACCGTGTTCCTTCTTCTGCAGTACAAGAGTGAGCGAGCCATCGTGACTCCAGCTCCGTCTGTGTTTCTAATTGGGGATTTGTGCTAACTCTACCGCATGCAATGATTAGCAACAAGGACTTCAAGAGCCTTCCATGAATCAGAGTAGCAAAACAATCGATGACAATGCTTGCAGCCCCGAGGGGGAGAGAGGAGTCTGCTACAACTGTGGGAGCTCCGAACTACTGAACTGACAGCAGCGGGGTGAAATGGCAGGATCTGCTGGAGAAATGGAAGCCTTCGACAGTGCCATGGAGGACTGGCCCACATGTATCGAGAGGCTGGAGCAGTATTTTGAAGTAAATGAGATTCCCTCAGAAAATCATGGAACAGCAATACTGAGTGAGATGGGAGGAAAAGTGCACAGTTTAGTACCCACAGTCTGATCACCCAAGAGACGCCAGCAAGCAAAACCTTTTGAGAGAGAGTGCAAATTGTCCAAGAGCTCTTGGGACCCAAGCCACTGATTATGGCAGAAAGGTTCAACGGCGTCAACTTGAAGGAGAATCTATTTCCTCTTCTGTGACAGAGATAAAAAGATTGTCCGAACACTGTGCTTTTAAGGATGGGCTTAAGAGACAGATTTGTGTGTGGCCTGCTTAACAAAGCATACAGAGGCAGCTCAACTAAGGAAAATCTTACCTTTAAACACAGTAGAAATTGGAGTTGTGATGGCAAGGGCGACAAGGGATGCAATAGAATTGAATACCAAAACTAAAACTGAAGTAGGAATGCATAAACTATCTATAACTCAAGGCAAGAGTCGGTCCGCTCACCAGACAGATGCTATTGGTGTGGAAAAGGGTTCCACACTCCTTCTGACTGCTGAGGTGAAGATGCATATTGCAGACACTAATTAAAAAAAAAAGGGGGGGGCATTTTCAAGTGGTTTGTTGCACCAAGAAAAATAAGAAAAAGAGACCAAATCAGGGTATCGAAAAAGGAATATCAATGTACACTCTGTTGACAGAGGCAGTGGTGACACAGAGTGTGAGAGTGGAGTAACCAGCCTAGATATATGTTAGTGTAAATAAAAATAATAAAAATCTGGTTGACACCCTCGATGGCAGGAAAAACATTCAAAAACGGAATTGGGGACAGGCTCCGTTATCTCACGTTCGAAATATGAGAAAACTTGAAAATATCAGATTGTGGGAAACAATGATGTTGCTAAAAACATGTACGGGAGAAAAGATGGTGCTAGTTGGAGTGATGCAAGAGAATGTGGAGTATAACAATAAGCAATGATTATTAGACTTATATGTCATTGAGATGGAGAGACCGGCCCTGTAGGGCCACGAATGAATACATAAAGTTCCTCTCGATAGGAATTCTCTAAAGATGCTGCAGTCATTGTCAGCAAACTCCAGTAAAACAATTCAACAGCCGCAGGAAGGGATATTAAGTCAGGCACTGGAACTCTAAAACACATGAAGACTAAGCTAATCCTAGCTGAGAAAGTGCAGCCCCAGTTTCACAGAGCTTGATCTGTCCCTTACAGTATTCACTTGAAGGTAGATGCTGAATTGGAACGTCTGGAAAGAAAGGCCATACTTCCAAAAGTGGCCTGGAACAAGTGGGGAACGCCTATCCTTCCAGTTATAAAAAAGTGTGGTGTAGAAAGGGTGTGTGGAGATTTTAAAGGTCACCATAAACCCTGTGCCGAAAGTTGAAATTTAGCCTGTGTTGAACTGAAGACATTTTTGCTACACTGGCAGGGGGACAATGATTCAGGAAAACTGATTTGTCACAGACCTACCTACAAGTGGAAGCTGAGAAAGAATCTGAACCATACCTCACAATCAAGACACAAGGCACAAAAAGTTTGTACCAGTAGAACAAGCTAGTGTTTGGTGTTACTTCAGCTCCTGCTCTATGGCCATGGGCAGCGGACCAAGTTTAAAAGTTATCCTGAGAAGAGTGGTATTTGGATGACATTATTGTGACTCATGGAAGTGATGAAGAACATTTGGAAACCATGAAAAGGGCATTAAAATGTCTAGAAGAATACGGGTTATGAGCCAATTGCATAAAATACAATTTTTTCCAAGGACTCGACAGCTTATTGTGGGCGTGTTATTGATGCACAAGGCCTACATAAATCTCAGGAGAAGGTTAAAGCATGTCATGCTTTCTCACGAGGAATAGGGACTGTTATATCGCGCACTGTGCCAGGTGGCACTGAGAGACCCATAGCATTTTCCTCCAGATCGCTCACAGCGAGAGAATGCAACTGTGCACAAATGGATAAGGAGGCTTTACATTTGGTAGGGGATGTGAAGAAATTCCACCCATACCTAGAAGAGAAGAAATTTATCCCTAATACAGACCACCAATCCCTAGTAGCAATCCTTTATCTGAGGAAGGGAGTTTCTGTGACAGCGGCAGTACATATCCAACCCTAGGCTCTCTTCTTACCTTGGTTCCAGCCTGGGCTGGAACATCTCCACCACAATTAAATGGTCCCTTAGCCTAAGCCATGCAAGTCTGAGTCAGTTGGTATGGGCCAGCCGCGGTTTTTAACTGCAGTGTAGACATACCCTAAGAGGACCAAAAGAATGCCACCAAGGCTAAAGGGAGAATAATGGAGGCCGTTATAGGTAAAAAGGCATTTGAAAGTGAAATTCTAGTGAGCTTAATAGAAAGGTGCACAAGCTGACGGGTTAAGTATAATAAAGGCAGGCCAAGAAAGAATTTGAGAAGCAACTGGCTAAAGATGCAAAAACTAACACCAAGACATTTTTTTACGTACATCAGAAGCAAGAAGCCCGTGAAACAGGCCGTGGGGTCACCAAACCACCAAGGTGCTAAAGGAGCACTCAAGAAGACAAGGCCATTGAAAAGAAGTTACGGGAATCTTTTGCATCGGTCTTCACTGCAGACGTTGTCGGAGAGATACCCACAGAGCTTTACTTTTTTTGGTGATAAATCTGAAGTATTGTCCCACATGGATGACCCAGCAGTAGAGGTTTTAGAAAAAAATTGATAATTTAAAGAGTAATAAGTCACCAGGACCAGAAGGTATTCCCCAATGAGTTCTGAAGGAACTCAAATGTGAAATTGCAGAACTACTAATAACCTATTGCTGAAACAAGCCTCTGTACCAGATGACCAGAAGGTAGCTAATAGTAATACAGATTTTTAAAACAATACTCCACAGGTGATCCTGACAGTTAGAGGCTGGTGAGCCTAACTTCAGTACCAGGCAAATTGGTGGACGCTATAGTAAGGAACAGAATTATCAGACACATAGACAAATCTAATTTGTTGGGGAAGAGGCAACATGACTTTTGTAAAGGGAAATCATGCCTCACCAATCTACTAGAAGTCTTTGAGGGTGTCAATATGTCAACAAGCATGTAGATAAGAGTGAAAAAATCAATATAGTGTACTTGGATTTTCAGAGACCCTTTGACAAGGTCCCTCACCAAAGGCTCTTAAGGAAACTAAAAGTCATGGAATAAGATGGAAGGTCCCCTCATGGATCAGTAACTGGTTAAGAAATAGGAAACAAAGGGCAGGAATAAATGGTCAGTTTTCACAATGGAGAAAGGTAAACAGTGGGGTCCCCAAAAGATCTGTACTGGAACCATTGCTGTTAAACGTATTCATAAAATATCTGGAACAGGGAGCGAACAGTGAAATGGCAAAGTTTGCAGCTGATACAAAATTATTCAAGATAGTTAAGTCTAAAGCCGACTGTGAAGATTTACAGGGGGATCTCACAAAACTGGGTGACTGGGTAACAAAGTGGCAGATGAAATTTAAGATTGATAAAGTACAAAATATCGCACACTGGAAAAAGTAATCCCAACTATACATACCAAATGATGGGGTCTAAATTAGCTGGTGCCACTCAAGAGAGATCTCGGCGTCACCGTGGATAGTTCTCTGAGAACTTCTGCTCAATGTGCAGCCGCAATCAAAATGGCTAACAGTATGTTAGGAACCATTAGGAAAGGAATAGATAATAAAACAGAAAAATGTCACAATGTCACTATATAAATCCATAGTACACCCACACCTTGAATACTGCTTACGATTCTGGTCGCCCTTCTCAAAAAATATATTAGAATTAGAAAAGGTGCAGAGAAGGGCAACAAAAATTATTAGGCCGTATGGAACGACTTCCATCTGAGGAGAGATTAAAATGTCTGGGACAGTTCAGCTTAGAAAAGAGACAAGTAAGGGCAGGGGGACATGACCAAGGTCTATAATATCATGAACGGTGTGAAGAAAGTGAAAATGTTATTTACCCTTTTCCCACAAAACAAAAACCAGGGGTCACCCAATGAAATTAACAGGCAGCGGGTTTAATTCAAACAAGGGGAAATACTTCTTCACACCATGCACAATTAACCTGTGGAACTTGTTGCCATGGGATGTGGTGAAGGCCAAAAGTGTAAGTGGGTTCAAAACAGAATTGGATAAGTTCATGGAGGATAGATCCATCAATCGCTACTAGCCAAGATGGTCATGGACGCAACCCCATGTTTGGTGGCAACCCTAAACCTCTGTCTGCCTGAAGCTGGGAGGGTAACACCAGCTGCCGGCTCTGTACACTCCCCTGAAGCTCTGCATTGGCCACTATCTAAGACTGGATCCTGGGCTAGAAGGACCATTGGTCTCACCCAGTATGGCCGTTTCTATGAGTCAGAGGTCGGACTGGGAACCAAATACTCTCCAAAGCCCTGCTCACAAAATAAACTCCACCCCATGTGAATCACTCACATGAGACACCACTTGCAGTGGTCTATCCAGATGTTCAAAATAGGAGCATGCAGCTATCTGAGCGATGCACACAAGCCCACGCTTACCTGTAAATGTGTGCTTCAGTGCTTTCGATGTTCATGGGCTAAAGCATTTTGCTGATTCAGGGCCCAAACCAGGAAGCAAATAACTCATCTAGGCGCAATGAAAAGAGAAGAGTCCATCCCAAATAGTTACCCAGGGTAAAGCCCTGAAACTGCCCCCATTACAGCCAGTAGGACCTCAATAGGAGGAGGACTGGCTGTGTGAGAATCCAGCCAATATACACCTGCTAACTAGATATAGGTCTGAACCAACTCTTTAGAGCCAAATAGCCTGAAATTTGGGAATGCCTGGATTAGGATCCAGGCATTTGAGTTAAGCCTCTTTCTGCCTCTACCTTTAAGACCCAGATTTTTGGGTCCAAGACCATCCCCAAAGGACAAGGCAGATGTTAATTGTATGTGATTGAAGTAGAACTGGTTGGAAAATTATATTTTTTTCCTGTGAATAATTTCAATGAAAACAAAATCTTTTTTCATTTTTGTCAATATTTTTCTTCAAAATGTTACAGGTTTTTTGTCAGAAACTGAACTTTTTTGGGTTCTGGCAACCAAAACCCAACATTTTTCAGTTTAAAGTGTTGGGTTATGGTTGCAGAACAGTAAAAATTGTTCTGTTTTGGGATTTCAATTAAAAGTGAAAAGTTAATTGACAAAATGAATCCCCCCTCCCCCATGAATGATTTTCAACTCAATGGAAAATCAGTTTTCTGGAGGGGAACTAAAGAAGAGTCTAAATGGAAAATTTTCCAGGTTTCCTAGGTTAAAGTTTGAAATATACTGTATTATCTCATTATATTGTGCAACATTTCCTCTTTGCCACAATACCGTATGTGTCTAGTTGAAGGTATTAGCTACTCACTCTGAAATTACCCAGAGTCACTTCATAACCTCTTCGTACCTGAGTGCTCAACAAGGCAAACAGCCCATTCCTGTCAGACCTGAAGAAGAGTTCTGAGTGGCTCAAAAGCTTGTCTCTTTCACTAGCAGAAGTTGGTCAATAAAAGATTACCTCACCTACCTTGTCTCTCATATGCTGGGACCAACACGGTTATACCACCACTGCATAAGGCCAGCTGGCTGACAGTTTGCCACTGATCACTGCAGTGTTGAAGCTGCCATTTGTACGAATGGTTTCTCTTTTTAGCTGACAGATGGGCCAATGTGACAGGCTGCCAAACCAGGACAGCTGGTGAAGGAAGTGGAGGGAGGAGCACACCACACAACCGGGGATCCATCAGGGAAAGATCTTTCGATGCCCAGGAAAGGAGAGGCTGCCTTTGATCACTATAGAGACCATGTGGGTGAGGTGATACCTTTTATTTGACCAGCTTCTGAGCTCACACAGAGCGCTTCTTGAGGTCTGGGGAAGGAACTCCCAGCATCACAGCAAAATGAAGGGTGGAGTAGATTGCTTAGCACGAGTAGTTAGCACATATTGTGAGGGACATCAAATGGATCAGACCCACTGGGGCAGCGGGCTTGGGTAGCGCACAAACAGTTTCAGTTGGAAGGAGACTCAGGTGCCTGTTGATTTGGGATCTCAT